AAAACATATGTATAATCGACAGATTAATAACTGCATTTTCATATCAACACTGTACTAACAGTGCCAGACTTAAACTTTATCAAAGGCTGATACGCGTACAATTACCACCTGTGAAACGAGAGGCAGCAGAAAAGCGGCTAACTTAGTTTCCATTAAACAGTGAGACATAAGCCAGCAAAAGACTTACTGCTCCCTAACACGTTTGTCGTTAAAGTCAACTGATTAGAGATGTTTTCTTCGAAGTCGGAGTGCATTTGCTTTGATAGGCCAGTAACCAACAGTCTGCATACAAATAAGACATGTTTGTAAATCAGATGTGCAAGAAGAACTAAAAATCTGGAACAAGCAAGTCCAGAAATGGACGAATAACCAACCAGACCTTTTCGCTGGAGTTTACAACAGGCGGAAGCAAAGAATAAAGAAGATGTTTGGCTATTCTGTATCCTGTGACTGTGCTCACAGTGTAGTAACTACAAACTTGCTTACTAACAGACGTGAGCCACCTTTATGTGACGGATACATGCTCGCATGCGCATCCGAAGGTCATGAGTTCAAATCCCAGCAAAGCCAGGCTGTTTTCAAAAATCATATTACCTCCCAGGTTGTCCCAGTCTTAATTTAATATCAGGTAGAGTCGAGGGAAGTAAAGGCAACCGGCGTGATGTTGACCACATCATCTACCGAGCACCGAATTAATCTATAAAATATCTAACACTATATGTCTAATACCCCCGATGGCGCGGAAAAGGGTCCTTCACTTTACTTTAACTAATACACTGTAAGAAGTCTTTTATGTATTTTCTGAACTTCGTGTATCTTGGAACAACAATTCTCAGTCTAACGGAACTAGAAAATATTGGGTTATGTGACAGAAGGAGTTATAATAACAACTGAAATATAAACTTCTTCTTCTACTTCTGGTTTTCTAACCTCCAATGGAGCATAGGTCCTTAACCAACTCAAGCCAAGTCGTTCTGTCATTTGCTATCGCATGCAACTCTCCCCTGTCCTCTCCATCTTTTAAACCTCACTCTCCAACTACCTTCTCTACTACTTCTGTACTAAGAAATACTGGCTTAATGTAACAGAAGGATGGACCAGAAAGAGTAATATGTATCTTAAAAAAGTAACAAAAGGACACATTGCGAATTCCACGGAAGTCCTTGAGGTAAACACAGAATCCATGTGCACGACTTACCGATGTTGCACTTGGAGGCTGACCAGCCCTTCTGACACCCTGCGATGCCACAATGTCCAGTTATCTTATCACATGTGCGGTTGAGGCAGTGACCACAAGTATACTGGCAGTTAGGCCCCCAGTGACCTACCATGCATTCTGTAGAAAATTTAGTATGAGAGAAATAATGGGTGAGTAATGAGAAGACGGGGAGTAGTAGACCTATCTGGGCAGTAATGTAGATAAAGATGGGGAAACTGATTGAGATACTGAAATACGAATACACAAACGCAAGCGGAGCTTTCATAACACTAGAGAATTTTTAGAGTTTCGATGTGACGATGATGGTGACGATGATGAAAGTAAAGTAACTAAAGGACCCTTTTCTCGTCATTGGCGAATAGGGCATGAGGTGCCAAACCAACACTAAACGTCAAATCAGTACTGTCGTATGGAGCGGAAACATAGAGATCAACTAAGGCAGTTACTAATAAACTACAAACATTCATTAATTGGTGTCTGTGCTGAATAGAAGAAATTAAATGGTATGATAGAATCACTAATGTATAGCTTCGGGAGAGAACTAAACAAGTTCCTGTGGACCAAGAGGTGTAGAAAAGATGCTGGCGTTGGATTTGACACACGTTGAGAAAACGTGAGAACAATATAACTAGAATGTCTTTGCACTGGAACCCACATGGACATATTAATGAGGAAGACAATTAAAAAAAAAAACACACACACATATACACACATAAACGAGGGGAGCTAGTAAGTTAAAAGATAGGGGGGGGGGGACATTTAGAGAGCTGCATGCAATATCGAAGGATAGAATACCTTGGCTTGAGTTGGTTGAAGGCCTATGCTCCATTGGGGGCTAGAAAGGCACAAGAAGAAGAAGAAGAAGAAGAAGAAGAAGAAGAAGAAGAAGAAGAAGAAGAAGAAGAAGAAGAAGAAGAAGAAGAAGAAGAAGAAGAAGAAGAAGAAGAAGAAGAAGAAGAAGATTACAGTAAAACGAGCAGAGAGTCATCAGACAAGCATTAACATGGGAATTAAAGAGGTTGAGGATACAAGGATGTCCACAAGAAACGCTAAGACGAACGTTGATAAGAGGCCAAAAGTGCTGAATTCAAAACCGTCTTATAGAATTATGGACCCAGAGCAAACCAGTATGCTGGGGTCTTTACAAAAAATACTTAGTGGAATCTTTTTTCTTCTTCTTTGTTCCCCGGCTGTAAGCTCCGGAGGAAAGTCATGGTTATTGGTTTACCTGGACTTGGACTTTGTGTCAGAGCCTGAGATTTGAGTGTACATCCGTTTTTCTGTCTTATTTGTGCGCAGTTGGTTGCTTATTGCTGCTCGTGCAGATGCATTCCGACTTCGAACGAATCGCCAGTTAGTCGACTCCTATGACATGTTTGTTGGGAAGGCAGTGAGTCTGTTCTTATTTTCCCCATAATGTGGTCCTGTAACCCACACGGGAAACTCAATGGAATGACGTTCATTATTTTTATTTCATTTCGAGTCACTTGCCATACTTGTATTAATTAGTACGGGGGCTACTGTGCTGGTGGAGCCCCAGAGCAAGTGGAACCCTATGCGTTAAGACAGCCATGGCTAGGATGAATTCCATCTATGATACCATGTGAAAGGGATCGCACTGGATGGATGGAAATAGAGGAACAGATTGCGAGCTCTGTGTGACACATAAAGGATGTTGATGATGACAATAATTATGTTGAGCATGACGATGACAATGATGAGGATGATGGTGACGATGATGAGGATGATGGTAACGATGATGAGGATGATGGTGACGATGATGAGGATGACGATGACGATGATGAAAGTAAAGTAACTAAAGGACCCTTCTCTCGTCATTGGCGAATCGGGCATGTGGTGCCAAACCCACATTTTATAGACCAGTCAACAATCGTTTGGTAATGTGGTCAACATTATCCTGGCGGCACTTACTTCCCAGGACATTTCCTGGCTCTACATTCAGGCTGTAGAGACTTGAGAGCCCAGATTATTCATTCACACAATCCACCACCAAGAAGGCATCGAAATCAAAACATGAAGAAAAAAAAACAGCATTAAAATTAATCTCAGATGATTATCTTCTTCAGCTGAAGCTTAATTAAAAAGCGGGTAAAATATTTTCATTACATATTTAAAGAGAATGCAAATTAATCCGCAAATGTCTCGCTTTTACATTTTTTCCCTTAAAAAAAAAAGGCTAATTAAAATAATAGTAAATCAATAATCTCTCAGATGCAGAAAACATAAAATAATAAATACATAATTTCTCCCATCTTAGATTAATTAGGACACTAGTAAAAATATTACAAGTGCAGAAGAGAAAACAATAAGGCGCATATCGGCGTTGTCTCGGGCTCAGTTGCCCCTTCTTGAATAAAGTTTCAGCCACAAAAGGCAACTGACCATAAACAAACAGAAAAACTACTCCAAAGTTGTGAAACATATGGCTCAAGAGCAGAGGTCTCCAACCTGGTGGGTGGCACCCTGACCCTTGTCTAATCTAATTAAAATGATAACACCCACATTTAATTACAAATTACAAACACAGTCTGACCAAAACCTATCTGTGGATTGTTTCGTTTGTTGTAGAATCTCTGTAATCACAAATTGTTTTACTGGATTGGGAGGGGGAAAAAAAAAAGGGGGGGGGGGGGGGGGGGGGGAGGTCTTGCCAAATACTCAAAGGGATTGGTGCGAGTCTAGTCATATATTGGGGGTGGGGGAGGGAGTGGGGCGGAAGTTAAAGGGGGGGGGGGGGGGGGGGGGGGGAGGCAACATGAAAAGGGTTAGAGACCACTGCTTTAAAAGTTGCAATTTTTATTTCGGACGCATCCTCGTCGGCTTAAGATTGCAGCAATTTCTGTGATGGCTGGAGGTTGTGACTGGAGCTAGAGAGGTTCGTGTTTTCTACGATGTTCTCCGCAGGACACTGGATCATCCTGGAAATCTACAACTAAAGTCATCGCCTTGTTTATCTACTCGCCATTACACTACAGGTATTTCATTTTCATTTCACATCGACAACGTCTTCGTTTCTGATTTTTACGTCTACGTTGTGTTGACGGGAGCTAACCAAGGCACCAGTCATCACCAAGCGAAACACGGTTCAACTTGGTGATTCCCGGCACGGTAAGTAGAGCTTTAGATGTTTATGTTGTCTAGAGTGTCATTCTGTCTTTCTACTACTTTCTATGAGTGCTGATCAATACATTGTTTGTTTATTTCATATTTGTATTTCAAGCGTCACATTATACGTGAAACACACACAACGTGTTGATTGGTAGTCATAAATAATATACACTCACACAAAATGCATAGCTTGTGATACAAAGAGTCGGCTATCCTCCGAATAACGGGCACATATTATGGCGGCAAAAAACAGGGCCTCAGTCACATGTAAATTGCGGACTTCCGGCGACTTAATTTGCGGACTTCCGGCGACTACCGCAGCCGCTGAGAGTATCTCGTGGATTCGGGCTAAACTAGATGGCTGGGACTCACGAGCAAAGCTGCAGGAGATGCGGAAGCTGCTGTTCGTGAATCCCAGCCATCTCGTTTAGCACCAATCCACACCGCACGTAGCGGCGTGGGAGATACTCTCGGCGGTGGCAGTAGTCGCCGGAAGTCTGACAGTTAGTCGTCGGAAGTGTCCAATTGACATGTGACTGAGGCCCTGTTAGGGTGTTTTTGCGGCCGCCATAATTTGTGCCTGTTATTCGGAGGATAGCCAAAGAGTGTTTCTATTCTAACTTTGGAAACACTGAACTATATTAACACTGACCTTTGGTACAGAAAAGACCCTCGAAACCGGAGTTGCAACCGGATGGACACATTCCTGTGTGTCTGTCGCAAGGAAAGGCACCGTAGCAGTGACCACATGGAAATGCACAGTTCTGACCATGACGTCCCGACTCGCATTCTGATAAAATACAATAGGGATTAATAGAGAGTTCTACTCACAGTCAGTGCTTTGTGGCGTTGGTAATCATGACTCTCTACAACCTTCTGTCTCTTTTATGTCTGGCATAAAAACTTATTCTTCCTCTTTTTTCCGTCCAGCTTTTCCATTGGCATGAGTTTTCTCCGCATGAACAAAGAATGCATATTAATGATAACATAATAATATGAATTTTTTTTAAAAAAAAAGGAGGCTGCAAATATGTTGATATAACTAAATGACCTAACTCAACACCCTTCTTCTTATTTTTTTTTAGCATTCACCGGCTATAAACTCCGGGAGAGTGTTTGTTGTTCATCCATTTCTGGACTCTGGTCTTATTCCAGAATTTTAGATTTTTGAGTACATCCGTTGAACAGATCTGGCTTATTTGATTTCAGAGTGTTGGTTCCTTGCCTCTCAGGCAGATGCACGCTGTCTTCAAAGGAAACCGCTAATTAGTCGACTCTTACAACAATGGTCATGAGATCCTATGCTATAATTGTGGCAGACTTTTCTTAACGCGGGCGGGTCTTACAAGTCACACTCGCCATCGCCATGGGCCTTCTCATAGCACAATAGAACACTATCGTCTGGAAAAACGGAAAGCTGACAATCAATCATCAATCACTACATGCTTTTTAGGGAGGCCTTTGGTCTATCTCCCCCCTCCTCCTCCCCGCCCATTTTTCCCCCCTCCCACCAGGAAGCTAATCGAGCAGTTAAAAAACACGCATAAATACAATAGAAAGTTTTGACTAAAAGCTTTATCAACCAACAGAAGCTTGTAAAAGGTGCGTTTGTATTTGCCACCGTTGAGGTTCCTAATCGCAGTTCATGGCACTTCGTAAACTGTATAAATACACTGGCTTGTGAACCTCTTACTAAATAATAGTAGTAATAATAATAATAATAATAATAATAATAATAATAATAATAATAATAATAATAATAATAATAAATAATAACAACAATAAACTGATTGATTAAATGATTGATTGGCACCTTTCTGTCTTTACAGACGATAGTGTTATATTGCGCTATTAGGAGGCATGGGACTCACAGCCCATGGCGATGGCGAGTGTGAATAGCAAGACCCGCCGTGTTAAGAAAAACCTTCCACAATTATAGCATGGGATTTCAGGACCGTTGTTATCAACATTTGTGTTTAGTCTGTTTCTTCTCCGACGCTCATCTCTCTTTCTTTCTGCAATGATTTTTTCCTTCATTCTCATCCCCTTCCTGATGTGCCTCCTCCACATAACACGGTCCATGGCATTTTGTTCCAAGTCCACCTTATTCATGTCCAGCTTGCATAAATGTGTATATCGTCAAAGAGGCCATAATAAAAATGCGTGATTTTAAGGGTTTGAACAACGGATCAACATCAAGGCACACTGGTATTAACCCATAAGAGCTCCGTTCTTTTTCTAACTCAGATCTGAGTCCGACGAAGCTCAGCACAATGGACATGATCTGTAGCACCGGCGAGGATCCTAAAAAACTGAGTAAATTTTTAAATCTAAATTTTGTCTGGGCAATGCCGTTAGGCTACTCTTTTCGATTTCCAGCTGCCAAGGATTTTTTGTACGTGCGCAACAATGCACACGGGCGTCCGATCTCACTACCCAGAGACCAGGGGGAATTACTAGGTCCAAGTCCACGTGAGAAAAAATTCTCAGCCTTTACCGGGGATTGAACCCGGAACCTCTAGCACCATGCCTCGAGACCACGCAGCCCCACTCGCCCCAATGTAAAGTTAAAAGACGGGAATGACCACTAAATAAGCTGCATGCAATAGCAAAGGATAGAACGTCTTCGTGTGAGTTTGATGGGAAAAAACGATTAGAAGAAATATTGAACGTGAAGACGAAACATTTTAAAACGTCTGCTGTTTATACTGAAATCTTCTGGAAGCTCACAGTTAGATTAATAATGAAGAGAAAAAGTAGTGATTTATATGTTTATTTTAACAAATAAGTAATAAATACGCATAAGCAAATTGTGCATCGTAAGGCAACAGTAGTGTCATTTTAAAAAAAAAAAAATGAATTTAACAAGTGAATGTTTAGAGCGTTACATAAAGCCACGACACATACGATAAAGGCATCCTGATCATAGCACCTACAATGAATGCGGTGTAATAACCGTTGTGCTGTCTAGAAGCAACTGACCTATCTGAATGTTTCCATGTGGAGTTAACAAACCCCCTCCCTCCGCCCCCAACCCCTTTCCATGTCTAACCCACCCTAACCCTGTGCTACTTCCTATCTTCTGAATTACAGAGCCAGTGGTGCACAGTGTGGCATTTGTGTTCTAGGATAAAAAAAAAGAATACGGACACAATACAACACGTTGCACAATTTATTACCAGGCATATTTCGTTGTATTTCGTCAAGCGTATTACTAACGAGTTTTAACACTACCGGATTTGAAAATATTCGCCTGGTGCTGAAGATAGGAATGGAGCGTTTATGGTAATGTCCCGAGTGATGTGATGTGAGTTCTCAAGAGTTTAAAAAAAAAAACATATAATGAACAAATACTCTGAAGTAATTCCCTAGAATACTCATTACATGTTCTCCCTCGAAACAATTGTCGTCTAATCGACGAAAATTCACGACAGTCACGTGACAACCAGGGTAGCTACAAATTCATTACGAACTCTTCCTGTTTACATAAGGGGTTGGTTAGAGGGTGGGTAAGGGGTTTTTTAATTTTGATTGTTAACGCTTCAGCTAGTCTCAACAGTAGACGTTTCCAGTCCTCACACTTTAAAAGCTTAATGATTTTGTTTGTTTGTCATTTTGAAGTCAGAAATGACCATGGCTCCTAGATCTTTCAAACCTAAAATGGGAAGCAGGTAAACGTCCTAGAAAATACAGACAACCGGAATGATCTTGGCCACATCCCCCATTGGGTTCTGAAATATGAGCCTATCATCATTTGCACGATAGGCAACTGGCGTCAAAAGGATCCTTTACTGGATTTTTGTTGTTTGTTTGTTTGTTTGTTTGTTACATTTTAAATTCAGAGTTACAACTACAGTCAACATGGAGAAATGGAAATCAAGATGGGGAAAGGAGGTTGGAGAGGGGGGGGGGCGGGAGTGTGGGGGGAGGGGAATATATTTACAATGACGCAGAAATGTTGGAAAAAAAAATAATAATCACCTGTGTCACACCTGACTCCTTTCCATCCTGGTTCACATCTCCAAGGACAGTTACCCGTTTGTGGGTCACAGGTTGCGTTGTCCAAGCAGCGGTGACAAAGATGGACACAATCTATACCGTAAGTGCCCGTGTGACAGGCTGTGAGGGAAACAATATTTAATAAATAAACATTAGCAAACCTCCCCCCCCCTCCCTTTTTTTTTCTACACTAGTCACTTTGCTTGTTTATTTGTTTGTTTATTCGACAGATCAGCATCATGGACACACGGGTGTAAACCCTTTAGTGCTCCATTCTACTTCTAACTCAAGCCTGAGTCTGAAAAATCTCAGCGCAGTGAACGAACTCCGCTGCACGAGCGAGGATCCTGATATACTTTTTTCTATTTTTAATTCCAAAATTTGCCCGGGCAGCGCCGTTAGGCCACTCTTTTCGATTTCTAACTACTCAGAGACCAGGGTAAATTACTAGAAGTCCACGTGAAAAAATCCCAGCCTTTACCTGGGCCTGAACCGGGGACCTCCAGCACTAAAGGCGGACACCATACCTCGAGATCACTCAGCCCCTGATTGTGAGGAAGAACACTTTGCGCTAGGTTACTGCTCAATAAACTTTCTGCAGTTGAGTACTGGCACATTTTTTGTTTTCTATGGAAAAAAAAACAGGAACAATGGGAGCCCATTTCTACCCTTTCCTCTGCTGGTCAAAAGGTCAAGGTTAGATTTCCGAAACAAAGCGGATTTTTCAACCTTGGCTCCCAATCCGATCCAACCTGTGAAGTAAAAGCAGCTGGCTTGATACTAAGCGCAACACATATCTAGTGCCGATTGGTATAAAGGTATCGGTATAGCACTATACAACAAAGACGTAAAAAGGGTTCTTGATTTATCCCATTCTTGCATTGCTTACCCCTTGTTATATACTTATCCTAATCTTCCTCTGTTTACCCCTATGAAAGAGTGCTTGTCCTTACCTTTCACTGTTTACCCCTTATTGTGAAGTACTTATCCTGACCTTCCACTGTTTATCCGTTTTTTGGTCTTCCTTAAATTATATGCACCTCTGGGTTATAGTGCGCAGATTTTCTAGTTATACTGCTTTCAGGTTATTGTTTTCAGGTTATTGTTTTCAGGTTTATCAACGAGCGGCCTGTGCAACGCCAGCGTCTTTTCTTCGCCTCTTGGTCTATTGGAACTTGTTTGGTTCTCTGCCAGAGCTCTAAATTAGTGATTATATCTACCATTTAATTCCCTCTATTCTACGCAGAAACTAGTTATTGAATGTTTGTAGTTTTTGTTTTTGTTTTTTTTTGTTTGTTTAGTAATTACCTTAGTTTTTCTTTATGTTTGCGCTCCATACAAAAGTGCCGATTTTACATTAGAATTAAAAATTTTAATTTTAATAATAAGCTGATTGGTAAATAAATATAATCATCTTTTTCTCTTTCCTTCTTCGCAATGCCTCGCAGCGTCTGGGCAGGACATCTATGAAATGAAACCCATTAGAAATAATATTAACATACAAACAATACTTCACAAGGCAATCTGTACACATGGTTAACGTGGCTTCTTAAGCCCCCCCCCCCCCCACCCACACAAACATAAAAATATAATGGAAAAGGAGGGGATGGAGGGGGTGACCTGATCCCACAAAGCCCGTCGCCCTGCTGTATGTAAGCTAACATATGTGGCATGAAAAAAGCCAATTTTTACGTTTCTATTGTTTATTCCACGCAATCAGAAGTTTGTTGCTTGAAGCTGAATAAGAAATAATTTAAACTATTACAACATTTCAAGTAGCAGAAAAATCTCCAGCCAACAGACATATATAATGAAGTAGAAATAAATAAGCGATCTATAGATTCGCGCAGAACTAGTGGATTCCGCGCATAATGATGTAAAGAATGGGTTGTCATGACATTTCCCCTGATCATTTATCAAAATAGAATCAGTATTAACATTCATATCAGTGTTTCCCAACATTTCTCCGGCTAAGATCTCTTGTGTTTAATAGCTAAATGCTTGCCTCAGTCGCAAAAGTCTTGGGTTCGAATTTGAACTGCGCGGACGCTTTGGTTCTCATGTCCGCCCACTCCAATGTCTCAGGAAAAAAAAAGATGATAGACAAGATGTTGACCAAACAACTTGCCGTGTCTTAAGTGGTCTATAAACATCTCACGCTCACATCATATGCCCTGTGCGCCACTGACGTGTGAAAGGTCCTTTACACTGGCATCATTGATATGACTTATTCAATATCCCAGGTAAGTAAACTGAAATGGGTAGCAAGAAATGTCTTGGGAAGTATAGGCGGCTCTCGGAATGTTAATTGCCACAACTATAACCCAGTGATTACTGACTGGCCTATACAATTATAAGGCTCGTATCGTATGCCCGATGAGCAGACGGAGGGACACAGCCTAAATGAAATAAATAAGTTTCCCCCATAACTTCCCATGTCGTGGCATGCACACATTTCAGCAGACATCTTGATGCATTATGTTGGGTATCAAGAGATACCGGCAAGCACCAGCACCTATGATAGACAGCAATATTCTTAATGATGGGGATGAGGGTGATGGTGATGTTGATGATGTGATGATGATGTTGATAATGATGTTGGTGATGGTGATAATGATGATGATGATGATAGTGACGATGTTGATAATGGTGATGATGACGATGATGATGATAATGATAGTGATGGCGATGATGATTTTGATAGTGTTGATGATGATGTTGATGGCAATGATGATGGTCCTGATGATGATGTTGATCATGAAGAGAGGGTCATGATGATGATGTTGATGATATTGATGATGATGGTGATGGTGATGATGTTGATAATGATGTTCATAAAGATGTTGGTGATGGTGATGATGTTGGTGATGGTGATGATGATGGTGATGATTATGATAGTGATGGTGATGACGATTTTGATAGTGTTGATGATGATGGCAGCGGTGATCATGATGACGATGTTGATGATATTGATGATGATAATGATGTTGAGGATAATGATGTTGATGTTGGTGATGACATTGATGATGGTGCTGCTGATGATATTGATGCTGATGATGATACTGATGGTAATTATGGTGATGACGATGTTGATGATGATGGTGATTGTGATCGTAATGATGATGATGACCGCAATGATGTTAATGGTGGTGATGGTACTAGTGATGATAATGATGATGATGATGATGATGATGATGGGGATGATGATGGTAATGATGATGATTATGGTGCTGATGGTACAATAAACAACACCTTGCTGACAGAACGGCCCGGTCCAACCAGGAGCACAACCATGAGGACACTTTCCAGTTTCATGATTACATGACAGGTTCCCGTAGCAGTGACCGCATTTATACCGGCACTCCTTCCCGTAATGGCCTGGGCAAGCTGTAGATAAACAATGCTGAGTTAGAAAGATTCCAGTTTGCTCATAATCATCATCATCATCATCATCTTTATCATCCTCATCATTATTATCATTAATCACTTATGCTATAATGTGTTGTGCGGAGGAATAATTTGCGATCCAGTGCACGCTGGCTGACATTGATTTATCCCATTCTTCCATTGCTTACCCCTTGTTATGTACTTATCCTAATCTTCCACTTCTTCTTCTTCTTTCGTTCGCCTGAAATAAGTTATCTATATCAGCAGTTTTGTCTCTTGTATAAATTTCACTGTCGTTGTTAGTTCATTCAGTGGTCCATAGAGTTTACGTTCCACTGTTGTTCTTTCTGGCCAAAAGGTTTGCCTTAATGTGTCAAATTCGGTGCAGTCCTGGAGTACATGCTCTGCGGTCTGGGGCACATTTCCACAGGTGCACATGGCTTATACACCTATCTTGAATTTTGTGTACATGTGGTTACGTAATCGGTTGTGCCCTGTTCTGAGGCGGAAGATAATGACTTGTTCTGGTCTGTCCATAATAAAATAGTCGTCTTGTGCTGGGGCTGGTGGTTTCCTGATCGATTTAATGATTCTTTTCTTTTGGTGGTATGTGACTGGTAAATCTGGCTGCTCTTTTTTCGCACCTTCCCCTGCCAGTTGATCAGCTTTCTCATTTCCAGGCACTCCACAATGAGACGGTATCCACTGCATTACGACTCTTCGCTGAACGCTGAGTTGTGTCAGCAGTGTTTGCAATTCTGGTAGTTTCCTAGACTGGAGTGCTTCAAGTACTGATTTAGCATATGTAAGCATTACCACATACTGTGAGCCAAGGTTGGTATTTAGCAGTTTCTCTGTAGCTATCTTAATAGCCTGGGTTTCTGCATCGTAGTTATGGCAGTACTTCCCGGTTGGTACGCTGGACTTATCCCTAGTACCATCTGGGAATTCGATGTACACTCCAGCACCATCATTTCTAACTGCACTTTCTGCGGACCCATCTGTATAGACTCTGACCCATTGTTCTTGTGGGTATTCTTCATCAATATAACTGAGGGTGGCCATTTTGCGTTGTACACTATCTTGCTCTTTCTTGTCAAATATCCCTTTCACATTTGTCTGGATTTGTACCGTTAGTTTACATTTTTCTCTCCATGGGGTTTGTTCCGGAATACTTTTTGGTGGGCAGCCAATTTCTGGAAGGTCAGGAGTTTGTCTACATATTCTTTTTGCTTGGTGTATAAAGCTGCTTCTTTTTAACCGTCCCAAGGCTAGGTTCTTAAATCTATTTTCCATCGGGTGATCTGGCATACTGAGGAACTTTTCAGCTTGTATTTGCAACTTTGTATCTCTGCGTTCTCTCAGTGCCTGTGTTTTCCCAGCTTTCTCCATTTCTAATATGGGGGTTGATTTCATCCCTCCTGTGATGACTCTGAGCGCTTGATTTTGCACTTTGTCTAACTCCTTTAATGTGGTACTAGATGCTGAACACCATGCAGTTGACCCATATTCCAAGTGTGGAAGTATGCTCTGCTTGTATACTTTATTGAGTATTTTCCCATCTGCTCCCCATGTGGTTCCACTTAGTTTTCTTAGTATTGCTGTCTTCCTCCTGGCTTTAGTTGCTGCCTTGTTGATATGTTTTCTCCATGTCAACCTGTCATCAAATGTGACTCCTAGGTATGTGGGCTCTTTATCATCTCTCAGGCGTATTTCGTTTATTTTGATGGTGCCGGCTTTTTGCTTTGGGGAGAGGGTGAATAGTGTGGTGCTACATTTGTCTGTGTTGATGCTGACACACCATCTATTGGCCCATGCCTCAAGTGCATTTGTAGCCCGCTGTAGTGTTTTTGTGACTATCGTTGCATGTTCATTGGTGCACCACAGTACCAGGTCGTCGGCGTACATTGCCATTTTGATTCCATTTGGTATCTCAGCAACCAGATCGTTGATAAATAAAAGGAAAAGTGTGGGCGACAGGACACCACCTTGAGGGACGCCCTGTCGCAGTAGAACTTTTTTACTTTTAAAACCATCTACCTGTACCCGGGCTCTTCTGTTATGTAGATATGCTTTAATCCAATTGTACATTTTTCCATTTATTTTATAGTTTCTCAATTTCTTCAAAAGCCCCTCCTTCCAGACCTTATCAAAAGCTTTCCTTAAATCTTTCCATGCCGCGAGTACCAGTTTCTTATCTTGAAAAGCATCCTCTATTTCTTGGGAGAGGTATGTTGTCTGGTCTTCCGTAGAATAGAACTTTCTAAAGCCCGCCTGCTGTGGTGTAATGATGTTCTCACTTTCAATGTACCACTGTAGTCTGAGGTTGGTGATGCGCTCCATTGTTTTACAGAGACAACTTGTGAGGCTGATTGGTCTGTAGTTGGAGGCATTAGAACTGTCTTTCCCAGGCTTTATGAGGGGTATCATAATTGCCTCTCTCCAGATCTGTGGAACATTCCCTGTTGCCCAGCAAGCATTAAATATCTGTAAAAGCTTTGTTTTGGCTACTTTTCCTAAGTTGCTGATCATTTCGTTTGATATACCATCTGCTCCTGGTGACTTCCGCATTTTCAGCTTTGAAATGGCCAACTCCAGTTCATTAAGTGTAATTGGCACCTCTAGCGCCTCTGATGTTATTTCTTTCTGACTTCTAAATTGTGTCTTTTCTTGAATTTCGTGTTTTTTTCTCTGAACTGATTTCAATGTCGTTATCTAAAGCAAAAGTGTCCGCGAATAGGTTGGCTGCCTCTTTTCCTGTGACCATGTTTCCATCTTTCTGCAGCGTGATCTTTGAGTTCCACCCTGTGTCTTCATCATTAATTTGTTTCACAAGCTTCCATAACTTTCTTGTGTCTTTTTCAAAGTTCAGCGACCTTGTTTTCTCCTGCCAGCTTTCCCTTCTAACCTGCAGCTTTGCCCTTACAAATTTTGCTTTTGCATGCTGGTAGTTATTGTGATGTTCTTAGTTTGGTCTGGTCTCTGCTATCTTCCACTGTTTACCCCTTATGGTAAAGTACTTGTCCTGACCTTCCACTGTTTACCCCTTATGGTAAAGTACTTATCCTGACCTTCCACTGTTTACCGCAATGGAAAGTACTCATGCCGCGAAGGCGTAGAGTTTCTTTAATGTTGTCGATCCATTTTTTCACTGCCGTCAGGTAGCTCTTGCAGCTGATCCTCTGAGCTGTGGTGCCAGTTAGTTACAGGGTTAAAATAATGATTATTGAATGCACATGAATATAAACGTCTGTGTACGATGTGATTGAAAAGGGACTCCCTATATCACATGACACCGTCTTGATAGCGACATGTCTGAAAGAACTAAAGGAGTTATTAGATACGGTGGTGGTAGAAAGTGGAAAAATGTGCCTCAGTTTGGATAATTGGAAGACAGAAATAATGGTGATTTCCAAGAAAAGAATAGTGCCTAAATGTATAATAAGAGTCAACGGCGTTATTTTAGGACAAGTAGAGAAATTTAAATACTTGGGCACTTGGATAACATCCCATGGAAGATGTATCACAGAGATAAAAAGTAGAATACGATGGACCAACACTGCCATTTATAAAATAAAGAACATTTTTTGCAATAAATCCATGTCACTGAAGGTTAGGAAAACCATTCTGGCAAGCCATATAGAGTAGGTTTTAACACACGGCTGTGAATCCTGGACAATTAGTAAACAAGCCGAACAATATCTTTAAGCCTCGGGGATGTCATTTTACAGAAGAATCCTTAGAATTCATAGGACAACTAAGAATGGTAACCCAGATGTTTTGAAAGAGGCAGGCGTTCAAAAACAACTTATCACAAACATCAGACAGGGAATGTCGTTATTTTTTTTTTTGGGTCATGTTATGAGAAGAGGGAAAATGGAACATGTTGTGACCACTGGAACGATCTGTGGACAGAGAGACAGAGGTAGACAGCACAACAAGATTCCTGACAACCTTCTGCCTTGGCATCGAGGGTTGTCAACACTCGAAATAATACACGTAGTTGCGAATCGCAGATTGTGGAGAGGCACTATCGCCCACGCCAGTCGGCCAGTTACTTCAGGATGATGATATTAATATGCGTATAAATTATTTATTTAGATTAGCCCTTTTTCCCCAAATATTTTCTTTTAGTTTTTATGTATGAGAAATAGTCTGTAAATTTACTTGGTTTGCACTTGTGTTTCAAACTGATTGCTTTGTTTTGGATCAGCTTAAAGGGCAAATACAAGAAGTTACGTCTTTCAATCCACAAGAGTTCCCGTGAAAACAGTTGACGCGATTCCTGGACTAGAGAAGCTGGTAGCGAAATCTTGTCCCCTGTTGGGTGCGTAAATGTGCTTAGGGGTATGGTTGCGAGAGCTGTCACTGATGCTTGCCTAGGGGCAGCATTCGTCCCAACGAAATTCAACACAAGTCAGCTTGAACACTAAGGTCAGAGTGACTTGAACAGACAAACATTCCTTAATAATGAAAAGGGTGACAACAGTCCAGAACTCCGACTACAACTGGACAATGGCGACAGTAACAATCCAATTCCAAATGCGTAACTCTTCCAACTGAACAACGTCAGGGAGTGAATGTCCTAAGGGGGATTTTTAATTTCCATGCAGATAATGTCAGCAAAAACGAATAGGTGCAAAGAACTCACCAACATGCAATACGCTAATTACTTCTTACGTCCTCAAACTCACTCTCGATTAAGACTAGACTAGATATCTAATCACTGCTATACTGGCATAAAGTGACACTATAGGTCATCGCCTAGACCTTGGAGAACATTAACGGTTTCTTCCACCAGTTATAATATGCAACCGAAAATACCAACGAGCCAGAATAATTCGACACTTCCAAAGTACAGCAGGAACGCTGATTTCAGTTCTCTTGCAGTCTCTTGAGAACTACGGCTCAGATCTCTGACGATTCACGTTCGAGCCTCTAAGCTGATCTTCGCTGTGGTATCATGGGGTAAATCCTCCACTATAAATGAACCACACTCG